GTAGTAGACGTTGTGGATCTACCGACCCACAAGGAAGCCTTTATTCCCGGTGTTTGTAATAGCGTGTTTGGGAACGAGGACCTAAACTTCCGTATGCTAGCTTTAAGAGTTATTTTTGAGTATGTGTTACGTTTTGAATACTATGCTTTCTTTGTAGTCTTGACGGCGTGCGGTGTCCAGCCGAGCACTCCACACCCAAGGAGGTGTCTTTGTTATTGATCAGTTGATCGCACGCGTGGAGCTATAGGTTATAGCTCAATGTAATCGAGAGATGAATTTTTTCGCGTTTTGAAAATTAGCCTTGCACAGCACAACGATATCCCAGTCATTCCCCTTGCACTTTTGGTAGCATTTCTAAGACAAACATGCGCTCAAGCTCGCTTTAGCTTTTTAAAAATGAATAAAACGACAACATAAGCAGCCAAAATTGCACAAATAAAACATTTGTTTGCTTTTACAAACATTACAACCTGCACACTTCGTAAGGGGAAAAAATCAAAACAGTTTTTGAAAACAAGGACAACAATTTGATACAAGCTTTTCTCATCGTGTTATTTGTATTAGCATAAATTGATCCTCATTAGCATTTCTATCCAGTTATGTGAAATCGTTCTATTAATTGTTGATCACATTTGAAAAATATTTTTAAAAATGGTTTTTAATGGTTTTAAAAATGTGATTGTCATATACACTGTTTCATTGTTAACTATAATATTGTAAAAATCTTAAAGAAGTCAAATAGTTCCCTCTCAACTTCAAATATGGCCACCAATACTCATTGTGATAGATCAGAGTCTGTCTCATGGATATTTTTAAATTGGAAACATTGGATATTTAAAAAGAACAGAAAAAATGGGTAAGGCCATAGGGTGCCCCCATAGGTAGGCCATGGACCGGGGTCCAGGTTTTGTTGCCACCCAGTAAAAAAAGAGTAGAAAAGTATTGTTCTAAAATCAAGTGACGAGCTTCAGCTTCTGCATGGGATAAGAGAGGTTGGCGAACTGGCAAAGACTATCAGCAACAAATACCAAGTAATAATGCAGATTTGTTTGACAGCAGTGGAATTACTTTACGAAAGGGTAAAGCTTTTCAGCACAACTTCAATCTTAAAATAATCGAGTGGATGACAGAATAGAAATTTTGGAAACCTAGGAGTCGCTGTCATCAAAGCATCAAAGACTTTTCAAACGACTGAAATTCAAGGACATTAATAAGAACAGAAGAAGAAAAGAAAACGATCGAAAATCAAAGAACAGAACAAAAATGAGGTTTACCGAAAAATGTTCAAAASGCGTTCAACATTTGCGTGGTATCGCCATTTCCTTTCATAACAATACCCTCACCCTACAAGTACCCTCCCTCGACTCCAATTCCAGAATCGCATATTGACGTTGAAGGCACACCTCTATCTTTCGTTATGCAAAACACATAGAATCAATGGTAAATGAAGGCATTTTGACCAACGAAGCCTCCAGCTGGCTATTGGCTAATCTCCCCGATCATGTTTCCAAACAGGTTTTCTTTCACTTATACCCTGAAGAAAAATATCTAGTGACAATGATACAACTAGCAGTGATGAAGATGAGGACATTTCTTACAGCAGTGATGATGAAGCCGCTAGTGAATATTGATGAAGTACGAACTGACATGCAGAAAATTATATTTTATATGAAATTCGGATACATTTCCAGGTAAATTCACAGAACCAAAGCTAGCAAGCCATGTACTGCAGTTCGTATTCCTTGGCGATGGAGGATTCWGGTTCCCCATCGCACAATTCCCGTCTGGAGGGTGCTCTTCGAGTTCACTATTCGCAATTTTTTGGGAAGGAGTGCGTATGATGGATGAAATCGGATTCCAGTAAGTAATCAATATCAAAAGTCTGCAAGTACATCAGAATCTGATATCTTGAACTTTTGACAACAAATCCTAGCATCTAYTGGTGTGTACTTGATGGTGCTGATGTTAATCGGAATTTTATAAAGCTGCACTTTAAACATGAGAAAGAAGCTATAGAAAATAMCTTTATTGCTCAGAACATGTACAATGGAAGTCCAATGGTATTTGTTATGGACCCAAAAGTAAGTAATGCTATAGTACCTCTGAATTAACTGAAATGAATTATCTCAGGACAAACTTCATCCATTCTATTTTTACGTTTTTTTTAGCACAATTTCAAAAAGATACGAAATAACATATTGAAAAGTTCCGCAGAGCCAAATTCACCAAGATGTTTAACAGTGAATGACAAAAAAGTGTCATGGGAGCACTTTGTATATGCTTTAAAGTATGAGGGGAGTTCTCTTTGTCATTGAACAACAAATTGACTGAGGTGCATTTCAACCTTGATGCAGCAACTAAGATGCGCAATCATTTGGCCGAATAAGTGTTAGATCGAAATATGCTTTATTTGATGAAGGTATACAAATTATATGGTATACACACTAATTTCGCGTTTCAATTTGTTGATAGTAACACAGATACAGCTATTTGCAATAATTCAGAATTATTGTCAGAATTATTGCAAACAGCTGTATACAGATTTATATATATATTTATAAAATTTTTGATATATAACGCGCGCTCTGATTGGCTGACGACCGTGTTTATATCAGAGGACAGAGATACGGCTTACCGGCAAAAGTTTCTTTTCGCTCGAAAAATTTTATAAAAGAAATATAAAACGGCCGCTTGTGTCTCTGTCTTCTGATATAAACACGGTGGGAGTTGAAATAATAATAATAATAATAATTTAATAAATTTATAAAGCGCTATATAATTACACTCTATAGCGCTTAACAATATATGGTAGTTATTAAATGCATGTGAAATTAAATATTAAAGATAAAAATAACATAAAAAATAATAATAATGTCTAGTCCAATAAAATGTCACTTAAAAAAGATAATAATATGAAAACAATTTCGATACAGGTAAGATATTTACAAGTCATATGCCTTAGTAAATAGATAAGTTTTTAAATGTTTCTTGAATTGATTCAAATTTGTACAATGTTTTAGCTCTCTTGGTAGACTGTTCCAAAGTGTTGCTCCCATGTAAGCAAACGATCTTCCGCCAGACGTGGTTTTCTTAATCTTAGGAACACTTAAATCATTGTTTTTATCCGCCCTTGTTCTTTTCATGGGTCGCTTTTTTATCAACTC